AGGGGACCCTGTAAGTGTCTTTAGTGCATCAAAACCCATCCCTGGTGAAAGGGGACCCGGTAAGTGTCTTTAGTGCATCAAAGCCCATCCCTGGTGGAAAGGGACCCGGTAAGTGTCTTTAGTGCATCAAAGCCCATCCCTGGTGGAAGGGGACCTGGTAAGTGTCTTTAGTGCATCAAAGCCCATCCCTGGTGAAAGGGGACCCGGTAAGTGTCTTTAGTGCATCAAAGCCCATCCCTGGTGGAAAGGGACCCGGTAAGTGTCTTTAGTGCATCAAAGCCCATCCCTGGTGGAAGGGGACCCGGTAAGTGTCTTTAGTGCATCAAAGCCCATCCCTGGTGGAAAGGGACCCTGTAAGTGTCTTTAGTGCATCAAAGCCCATCATTGGTGGAATGGGACCTGGTAAATGTCTTTAGTGCATCTTAAGCCCATCCCTGGTGGAAGGGGACCCGGTAAGTGTCTTTAGTGCATCAAAGCCCATCCCTGGTGGAAAGGGACCCTGTAAGTGTCTTTAGTGCATCAAAGCCCATCATTGGTGGAATGGGACCTGGTAAGTGTCTTTAGTGCATCTTAAGCCCCCATCCCTGGTGGAAGGGGACCCGGTAAGTGTCTTTAGTGCATCTAAGCTCATCATTGGTGGAATGGGACCCAGTAAGTGTCTTTAGTCCATCAAAACCCATCCCTGGTGAAAGGGGACCCGGTAAGTGTCTTTAGTGCATCAAAGCCCATCCCTGGTGAAAGGGGACCCGGTAAGTGTCTTTAGTGCATCAAAGCCCATCCCTGGTGAAAGGGGACCCGGTAAGTGTCTTTAGTGCATCAAAGCCCATCCCTGGTGGAAGGGGACCCAGTAAGTGTCTTTAGTGCATCAAAGCCCATCCCTGGGGAAAGGGGACCCGGTAAGTGTCTTTAGTGCATCAAAGCCCATCCCTGGTGGAAAGGGACCCTGTAAGTGTCTTTAGTGCATCAAAGCCCATCCCTGGTGGAAAGGGACCCTGTAAGTGTCTTTAGTGCATCAAAGCCCATCCCTGGTGGAAAGGGACCCTGTAAGTGTCTTTAGTGCATCAAAGCCCATCCCTGGTGCAAGTACATGCATGTAATTCTGTCGTAGATATGCATATTCTGATTAAATATTATTTGATTTTACCAGGTAATTATTAAAGCTGATGGTTTTCCTGTTTACCACTTTGCCAATGTTGTAGATGATCATTTCATGGATATATCTCATGTACTTCGAGGATGGGTATGTATTTCGTATAAATTATTCTGGATTATAATGGATTGGAATATGTAATTCTAGTGGATTTTAAAATTATAAATTATTTTTAGTCTTATGTTTTGACCTCCGTGCGTCTGTGCGTGTGTCTGAACCCTGTATCTTAGAAATGCCTGGACCAATCACAATCAAACTTCACACATACATCATACATGATATTATACATATGCACATCAATTTGTTTCACGATCTGATTCAAGATGGCCGAATGGCGGCCATTTTTGTGCTCAAAATCATCAAAATCAAGCATTTCTCGGCTGTTTACAGATGGATTTTGTTCAAACTTGGTTTATACATTATACATTATAGGACCTTGATGCACATCATTTTATTTCACGATCTGATTCAAGATGGCCGAATGGCGGCCATTTTTGTGCTAAAAAATCCTACAAATCAAGCATTTCTCGGCTGTTTACAGATGGATTTTGTTCAAACTTGGTATATACATTTGACATTATGGGACCTTGATGCAAATAATG